CCACCAGCATGTGTTTGTGACAATTGCAGCGTCCTGGGGTTATGTGATCTTCCTAGCCAACCTCTGACAAATAAAGAATCAGAATCAGAATCGAGCTGGAAGGGACCTTGGAGGTCTACTAGTCCAGCCTCCTGCTCAAGGAGGAGATCCTATACTATTCCAGACAAGTGGCTGTCCAGTCTCTTCTTTAAAACCTCGAGTGATGAAGCACCCACGACTTCTGAAGGCAAGCCCTTCCACTGGTTAATTGTCCTCACTTGATGGGGGAAAACAATTCATTTAATGACCACAGGAGTCAATCAATCAATCAGTCAATTTATTATTACAGCCAAAGGCCAACAAATTACACATTCAAATAAAACAAAACTAAACAGAACCAAATACAAGAAGATATAGCAATATATTACAATTAATGATGTAATCAATGGGTGACCAAGGTCTGCCTAGTTTTACAGACAGTAGAACAAAACCTAGCTGCCTTCAGAAAAACTGAATCATATTGACTTGACAATAAAAATACATTGAGTATAGTCTAATGCTGGATAAAAATAGGTAATAAAATTAATTATAAAAGATTATTAAAAAGATCTAAAATGTTTATTTATGTTTCTGGCCCATCCCCAATTCTGCTGTGCAGAATCTAGCTACCTGCGCCGTGATCACTGCTTGCTCGTCCTTAAGCAGCCACTGGAAATAAATATTTTCTGAACGGCCAGGATACCTATCAGTTATGGGGAAACCACAGGAGTCACTTTATGACTGCAGTGATTCACAAAACAACGGCAAAAAAAAAAGTTTGTAAAATCCGATGCAACTCACTTAACAAGCCCCTTGTTTAATGAATGGAAATTCTGGTCCCAATTGCCATGCACGTTGACGTCCACCTAAAGTGGTCATCTGATGTTGCAGATCAAATATGATATCTCCACGATTAAAGATATTTGTTTTTTTCTATAGTTGTCACTCCTTTTGATGTAGGTCTGCACAGGAAACAGACCCATCTGAGGTAGGCTACATTACCATTTTTATCAGCTGCTGTTCACAAGTGATGGTGACCTCAATGCATAGCATCTATTGCCACAGGTCTGAATAAAATAACCAGTTACAGTGGTTCTTGATCTTTTCTTCACCACAGACCTCCTTTAAATACCTTTTGTGGCCACGGACCATGGCCACAGATACCAGCCAAGACTCAAGATTTAAATCATAAAATTTCTTCAAGTCTTCACATACCCCCATGATGACATCACAGCTCCCCCCCCCGTCTGCAGATCACAGGTTGAGAATCACTGACCTATTATATACCACAGAGAAACCTAAGACTCCTTGTTTTTTCAATCCCTGCCAGCAGTTGCAATAAATGTGTCATAATAGGCGATTAAAATGTAAGATGTGAGTTAATTATTATTATTTAATTGGTTGAATGAGAATTCAGATGTAATTTTTCTTCATGCAACCAGCCAACTGTAATGTCCGTTCTTAGCAACCGATCTTTCGGGACTTAGACAAGACATAGTCCTTTCAACGTTGAAGCACATAAACCCTGTTCCTGCTTTTCAGAGTTCCTCTGCCTTCTTAAGAACATTATGTGTTCAAGGAATTCACACAATGAAGCTTTTGTCTGGTGGCAACAATTAAATTGGATGTGTTTGGAATGAACTCAACCTCATTGCTGAAGAACTGAGCAGGACAGAGGTTCATCAAATAATGTTTGACCCTTCTTTTGCACAACTCTGTACCAGGTAGTCCTTGACTTACAACCATTTGTTGAGTGACCGTTCGATGTTAATGGTGCTGAAAAAAATGACTTTGCAACCAGTTCTCACACTTAGGACCACTGCAGCAGCCTCACAGTCACATGATCCCAATTTAGGTGCTTGACAACTGACATCTATTGACAATAGCAGTCCCAGAGTCACATCATCACCATCTGTGACTTCTCCTTAGTTCTAGGTTGCTTCTCTCCTTGATGAGCTTCCATCTATCTATTCTTAGATTCCTCCTAACACTGGATCTTTAGATTTTGAAGGATTTCCAGGATTCCCAGGCCCATGGCCCATTGGTTGGAAGGAATAAGCAATATGGCTCAACATTTGGGAAGTAGCATAACGGTAGTCCTCAACTTACAATTCTTTGTTCAGCAACCGTTCAAAGTTACAATCACACTGAACAAAAGTGACAGGTCCTTGTACTTATGAGCCCGTTACAATGTCCCTGCTGTCATGTGATCCAAATTCGGGTGCTTGGGAGTAGACATGTACTTTACAATAGTTGCCGCATCCCAGGGCCAGGTGATGGCCATTTGCCACCTTCAGACAAGCAAAGTCAATGTGGGAAACCAGCCATGTGATTCGCTTAAGAACTGCAGTGATTCACGTAACAAAAAAGAGATTGGCAAAAAAGGTTATAAAAATTGGGTGCGACTCACTTAACAATCACCTTGCTTAACAATGAAAATCCTGATCATGACGGTGGTCATAAATCAAGGCCTACCTGTATTTTCACAGGCTACTCATCTGACGAATTTAAAACAATGTTTCTCAGCCTTGGCAACTTTAAAATGTATAGACTTCAATTCCCAGAATTCTGTACAATGCCAACTGGTGCCAGAAATGTTGGACAATAGAGTCATAAATTTACCTGCTCTGTTGCAAGATAGAGACTCACAATTTGAAATAATAAGCGTAACCATCCTCCATCTGTTAGTTAGGCCAATGTTTCTCAATCTCAGCAACTTTAAGACATGTGGAGTTCAACTCCCAGAATGCCCCAGCCAGCAAGGAGTTGAAGTCCACATGTCTTAAAGTTGCTGAGGTTGAGAAACACTGTTTAGGCCAGGGGTCTTCAAACTTGGCCCTTTTACGACTTTTGGTTTAACCAGATGGATTTCAAGACAACCAGAAGCCAAATACCCCTCTCTAGAATGTTGTATAAACCAGGCCTACATTGGTTGCTTTATTCCCCATTTTCTTTCAATCCAATTAAGCAATTGATTTTAACTGATGTGTGCATTTCAAAGCTCCACAGAAGGAACTTGCAACCAGAAACTGTTTTTTTGGATTGCATTAGTCTGCTCATTTGCTTTAATATGCAGATGTTACTGATTCCTCCAGCTGCACATTTTTATAAGAAATCAGTTGAATAATCATATTAAGTAAAATTGATTAAAGCTTATTTGCTCTGCATTACTTCTACATAGGCATTTAAAAAAAAAAAGCATTTCTGCTTTGTGTCAGCCACTATGCCAGGACAGGAATTCCTGATTCTGTGTCATTTTTTAATGCAATTATTTTGTTAGAATTTTATATTTTTTTTGTAAGAATTTTGTTTGCTGGTCAATTAATATGTCACTTTATTGGTGTTAATTTTTTAATCTAGCAGCCAATTTAGGTGACTTGTTTGGAGGGTTAATAAAGGATTGTGTCACAAAATCCTGCTCTCAGTTGTGTTGTAACTATTATGTCAGGTTGGGAAGATCTCTGTTTATCAAGACACCTTGCTCTGAGTATTGCTGATAACCAGGAATTTGTTAAACTTTCACTCATTCCTGTTTTTTTTCGTCCAAAGCTTCAGGCAAGATTTACTAGCCTCTGGACTTAAATCTCTTCAGTTTAGATGGGATAGGGGCAGTGGGGGAATAAAAGGGTCACTGAACACCTGAAAGCAAAGCATAGCCTCCTTGTGGCTTGAGATTTGGATCAGGTATGAGCAGCACCATATGCAAACGGGGTCAAGGTTGCTATGGATGCGTTCACAACTGCAGGTAGCATTCACACCTACAGTTGAGTTTTAATCTTGGTTCCCGCCCTCAGGGAACGCCATCAAATAATAGATTCTGGGTTCAACGCATCGGGCCAGGCAGGGAGGGAGCAGTTACCGGCCTCAGAACCACCGCCAAACCAGTTGAGTTCACACGACACGTGAAGCCGCGCTGGCTGCACAAGGCGCCTGTCGGGCTGGCTCGACGTCTCGGGCTCTCCCGTCCCCGCGAGCCGGTCCACCCAACGTGCCAAACCGGTCTCGGAACCTCCGTATTCCGGCGGAGCGGGTTGAGCGGCCCGGCTCTGCCCAGCCGGCGTGCCCGGACTCGCGCCGCTTGCCAAAGGAGCCGCCGTGCAGGCGCGCTCGGCTCCCGCGCTCCGGAGGCTCCGTTCCCCGGCGCCCGCCCGCCCTCTGCTCTTTGCCCGGGCTCGGGGGGAGCCCGCAGACCCGGGGGCCGCCTCTTCGCTCCCCCTCCTCTCTATTTTTATTTCGCTAATTTCCCCTGCTGCTGCTGCTGCTGCGCCTCCTGCTAGCGAGCGTTGCCCCCCTTGACAGCGCCAAAGCCCCCCCCCCGGCTCCCTCGCGCCGCTCCAAAACACGCCGGGAGCCCGGGGAGCCCACCCGCTCGTGCAGCCCGACTAAGGACGCCCCCGGAGCGCGAGGCCGGTCCGCCCGCCCGCCAGCTAGCCGCGGGAGGAAGAAGCGGCCAGGCACCGGCTGCGCGGCGCGGCTCCTTCCGCAGCAGCAGGAGGAGGAGGAGGAGGAGGCGGCTCTGCGCCCAGGCCAGCCTGCAAGCCAGGGGAGGAGGAGGAGGAGGCGGAGGAGGCGCCGAGGAAGCCGCCGCCGCCGCCGCCGCCCTCCCTCCTTCCCTTCCTCTCTGCCCAGCCCGGCCTCGAACGGAGGGTCGCGTCGCTTTGTTCCCGCAACCGCCCCGCGTGGATCTGCAGCAGCAGCCGCAGCAGCAGCGGCAGCCGGAACGGGGCCGCGCTGCTCCCCTGCCCGGAGAGCCCGCGGCTGAGCGCTAGCGGGAATCCGCCTCCGCCTCGCCGATTTCGCTTTGGGCAGCGGGAGAGGCAGGCCGGCCGGCCGGGAGGGACGGAAGGAAGGAAGGAGGGAGGGAGGGCGGCAGCAGCCGGGCCCTGCCCTCGCGCGGCTCCCCTCGGTGTCGTTTCCGCCCCTCGCATGGCAGCAGCGCGGCGCCCGCCGAGTGGCAGCCGGGGACGCGGCGGCCGGTGAGGCTCCCTCGGGGCGGCCTTCGCAGCGAGCCTGGGAAAAGGGGAGGAGGAGGAGGCGAGGAGAGGAGCGCCGAGGGGGCGGCGCGGGGGAAGCCTGCCCGCCCTCCCGCCTCCATTCATCGCGGCTCCGGATTTTGCCTCTCGCCCGCCGAAGGAAGCGCCAAGGTGGGACGAAGCGGCGGCCGCGGCGCAATTGCACGATCGCCGCTTTCGCAGGCAGCTTCGGGAGGCTCCGGCCAAAAGCCCGGGCGGCTCTCGGGGAAGCGCCGTTTCCGCTCTCGGAGCCGGGGATTAAAGCCAGCGGGCTGCGTGGCTTCTCCGGCTGGGTGCCCGGCCAGGACCGATTCCGGTCCGCGGACTCTCGGCGGGCCGGGCGGGCGCAGGACCGGCGCGCGCCCCCATCCGCCCTCCGCCTCGCCGACCCTTCCCCGGCCCGCCAGCCCGCCCTACCTCGGGGGGACTTTTCTAGAGGAAGCGGGGCCGGGAAGCCAAGCCAACATGGAGGTCGAAGATGCGGATTGCTGGCTGCGGCGCGTTCCGTGCGGGCTCCTGCTGGATGAAACCAGGCGAGGCTGAGCTGCTCTGCCCGGCCTCCCGTCGTAGCTGGAGAAGCAGGAGGCGGCGGCGGCGGCTCGGGAGCCTCCTTGGCGAGCCCCGAACCAGGCCCGGACCTTCCCCCCTCTCTCCCCGTTCCGGTCCCCCCGGTGGGCCGAGAATTTCCCTTCCGAACCGAGCAGCCTCTCCGGAGAAGCGCTCCAGGCCTCCCCCGGCCGCCTCCCTCCCTCCCTTTTACAACCCCCCCCCGGCGGGTGGGCTTGTTTTCTTTTTTCCTTTTTGCGAGGGGAGGGGTTTAAAAGCTGCCCCCCCTCCCCAGGGATTTGGATTTGCTTGTCCCGGGAAAGGGGCGAAGAGCGAGGACTCAATTGCGGGGATCTATTTTTTTTTTTTGTTGCAAAGGCCGTTTTGCTCCCAATTTCGACCCGCCAAACAGAGGAATGAAGTCTGGCGTCGGAGGGGGGTCCCTGGCCTTGGTGAGGAGGCTCCTGCTTCTCTGCACCGTGCTTTGCCTGCGGCCAGCAAATGGAAAAAGTGAGTATTGGCCGGGGGGGGCGAGGGGGGAGAGAAATGGCCCGTCCGGGCTTTAGTTTGGGAAGGGGGGGGCGCAGGGCAAGCGGCGCCTTCCTGCCGAGGCCGCCGAGATGGGAAGCCCAAACCAGGCGGGGTCTCTTTCTTGGAACCCGGTCCCCCAAAACGCGCCTGGACCCCTGGCCTTTCCCCCCTCGGCCGGCGGCGTCCGGGGGACTCGAGAGAGCAGGAGTCGTTTTCCCCTTTTAGCGGACCGGCTGCTTGCATTCCCGGCCTCGCCAAGCTTTGGGGGGGGCTCCTTCCCACGACTCCCGGGGAAAGATTCCTGGCTCAGCCGACCCCAGGCGGAGAGGAGGGGAGGGTCTGGCCCCGTCGCCCCCTCGAGCAGCCCGGAGGGGGGCCGCCAGGCGACCCACCCGGCCTCTCGCGCAAGGCAACCGGCTCGGCTTTCCCCGCTTCCCGGGGGCGGCTTGGAGGCGCCCGGCGAGCCAGCCGGTGCGTAAACAAGCCGAGCGCGCCGGCGGCGGCGGGAGGAGACCCTAGCCGCCGGCAGCCAAGCCAGGCCAGGCTTTCGCGAGCCCCCCGCCTTCCCTTCTTTTTTGAGGGGGGGTCTCTTGTGTCGAATAGGGGAAGTTGCAGGCGAGCAAGTGAGGCCCTTGGGTGGCGGGGAGCGCGCGTCCAAGCAGCCCAAGCGGGAAGCCTCTTTTGCGGACAAAGATTTGTGTGTGTGTTTGTGTGTGTGTGTGTGTGTGTGTGTGTGTGGCTGTTGAACTTCAATGGGCCCTAAATGCTGGGGGGGAAAGGAATTGTATTCCCCCCCCTCACACTTTGCTTCCTTATGCACAACAGATTAAACGCGGGAGAAAGGAAGAGTGTTTTTATATAACTCTGGTTTGTTTATACGCAGAGGTATACGTTGCAATTAAAATGTTACTCAGTGAATACTCATCGTCCAAGCTCCGGGACTGGTGAGAGTAGGAAGGCGATGGGTGCCTCTTTGTCCTCCTTTCCTCCCCCCACTGAAATGTTTTGGTGTTTTTTTTTTCTTTTTTGAAAGACAAAGGGGGGGCGGTGGAGGGGGAGAGAGAATTGGGCTGGGCCCTGCTTGGTGCAATTCCTGAAGCTCTACCCCTAGACAGCTGGTGGCTTCATGCTTGAGCAGAAGGTGTGGGAGAGAAAAAATCCTGCATGACCTCCGTGTAAAAGGAGGAGGGGGAGAGAACTTTCTCTGGTGGTTTGTGAATCAGTCAAATGGGTGGAGAAAGTGACACCCTCCAGATTGTTAGTGGTGGGGTTGTGGTGCCCTTCCCCTTGGCGCTGGTATGAAGGAAAGAGAGCTTACTCCCCCTTAGATTCAATAACATGGTCAGTGTGTAAGCGCGGCTTGTTGGGTTGTGCACGTTTGGTCTTTTTGGGAGGTCTTAGCTCAGTTTGGGCAAGTGTTTGACCTTAGGGACAGTGCCTGGATGACTGTTTTGGGATGACAAGGTCAAAACGTGAGTCATAGATCACACTTCTAAAATAGGGTTGTTCCACCTCATCTTCCGAATGCTTTCTTCCCCCTGTGTTTTTCTCAGTTTAATCTTTGACTGCACGTAAGGATTTAGGCCAGGCCCCAAAAAGAAAAAAAAAACTGCAAAACTTTAATCCCTTTAGTGTTGGAGTAAAATGAGAAGTAGGCAAGTAAACAAACATGAGTGCAGAAAAATCGTGACTGCATCTGCTTAGGAGCCACATTGATTTGATGATTAAAAAAAAGATTATCCTGTTAGGTGTAGTTCTTTTTAAAGTACAGGACGAGCATAAAAATGGCATTTTATTTGCTGTTGTTATTGATCTGGTTATCCACTGTTTTCCTAACAATGGCATTGCCAGCAGGGGAAAAAAAAACAGGATTTAGATGGCTGTATTAAAATATTCATTAATCTGTAAAAGAAATCTTAATAAGCAGAGTGGATTGTTGTGGGATGAATATGTGTGTACAACGGATAAGAAGAATGAAAACACATTGGCTGGCTGATTTGTTTTGTGGCTTTAAGAAAAAAACAATCTCTTGAAAAGAAGACCCCCCACCCCCATCCAACTGCACTGCTCTCCTCCTTATAACACAAGGAACATCTAGTCTTAGTTTTATGTGTGTGTAATTTTTTTTTAATACATAGAATGTGTCACAGCTAAACTCGCTCTTCCATTTTCGGTCATAAGAAGTCATGCATTCCTAAATAGGAATATACAAGAGCTGGAACCAAAATAATATGGAAAGACTGTCTCTGTGATCTTCAATTAATATAGTTTTGAAATCTAAGGTATGATTGGTAGGTAAAATAGTAATTAAGATGTCAGTGATAGAGGAGGGGAATCTAGCTTGGCCCCTTACAGGAGAGGCATCACCAATTCATCATAGGTTTGACCTGGTTTGCTTTTATAGGCCTTCAAGAAAATTCTTAAAATTCGCTGACTTGGTTTTGACCCTCCCTCATTATTTGGGGCTGTGGGTTGTACATGCTGTTGTCAGATGCCATTTTTTGTTTGCTTCCTTTGCCTGGGCAAGCAGCAGTGTTTATTGCCGAAAATGATTCTCAATAAAATAATAAAAGCTTGTTCTGCTGGGGTGTTTGAGGAGTAGTGTTGTTTGTGGAATCAAATGCAAAACACAATTTTTTGCATGAGGTGGGTTTCCTTTGCACTCTAGAGAGCAGTTTTTATGTTTGCTCGTTGCTGTAGAAATTCTTCCTCTGCCCTGATGAATTTACCAGCATTTTAAGCCAATCTTCTCCCTTGTTTTATTGAGTGGTGTGACTTGTAAGTGGGGAAGCTAATTCAGTTGTGGTTTTGTGATCTAAAAATATTGTGTTATTTTAATAGTGTTTCAGCTCTTCCGCGTTAGATCTCTATAGCTGGACACTTAGTAAAACCCTTAAAGCTGTAATTGTGTGTGCATGTGTATAGTATCAACATCAATATCTCTTAATGCGCTTGCTGATAAAGCAAATATGGTTAGTTTGAGTGAGCCAATCGGGTAAATTCCCTGGGTAATTTAGATACCAGAGTATAAAATGGTTTGACACTCAAGGGATTGTTTGCCTTTCCGGAATCTAATTGATAGAGGGACAGGAGATTTCTTTGGAAAACTGCTGAAGACACTTTGCCAAAAGACACAAAAAGCAATAAACTCTCTTTCCTAGGAAATCAGGCCTGTGGTCTTTTGTTTGCAAACTAATGATATTTGGATTTAACCTTGGAGACTGCAAAATGTTTTTAGTACCTTAGGACAGCTGTTTGTTTTGTTGTGGATGCTGGTTAAGAAACAAGCGTTGAGGATGGCTGTGCTTAAATTTTAAGAGCAAATATTATTGGCAAGGAATTAATGGGTGCCTTTATCCCAGCCTACAGTGCAAAAACACCCTTAAGAATCTGCTCCAGATATTATGGTGCAAAAGAATACAAGCAAATGAATGTATGAGAAGATGTAGTAAACCATCTCATATTAGAATCAGCAGCTGGTAAGGCAGGAAGGAATTGGCACTAAGAATTTAGTCCTCACCAGGCCTGTGGACTTCTGGGAATTGAAGTTAAGAATTTGAAAATTTTCTGCATGTTCATATCACAGTAATATGATTCCTTCTTAAGCCACATCTACATAATTCTGTAACTCTTGTATCTTTAACTTTTAACTGGGTGAAATGGTACATCGTAGGGCAACAATTTTTCAGCCACAGTACCTCAAATGGAGCAATTTACAGAAGGCATCTAAAATCCAGGATTCCCCTAGAATAAAAAATTGGCAAATTTTATAAAATATGACACAAAATTATCATAAGATATCATGACATTACTAAAAAATATTTTAATAAAATATTTTTTGTGCAAGTCCCCCTATTTGATTGTATTATACAATTCACCATGGCCTGCTTTTGAGGCAAATGCATCTCTGAATATCTCTTGGAATTTTAAAGAATTTTTCCAGTAGATTAGAAACTCTGCCATTGTTGGAGGCTTTGAGGAATCTGGTAAAGAAATATCTCTGAAGTGATAACCCAATGGGTCAGAATAACAGAGTTGGAAGGGACCTTGGAGGTCTTCTAGTCCAACCCCCACTGTTCAAGCAGGGTCACTAGTTGTCTAGTCTTTTCTATGGTTCTCTGCTGTTGGTATATCCTGATTCCTATTTTTAGAGTCAAACAGTAATGTCTGGGTTGAGCTAAAATAATACTTTTCAAATAATCAGTAGGTTAGATCAGAGGTCTCCAACCTTTGGAGCACCAGGGACCGGTTCCGTGGAAAAAGGTTTTTCTGTGGACCAAAAAGTATGTGGTTTGGACTGGATGGGGCTTTGCCTGTTTGTGCAGACTGGTTGCTGGCATGCCACAGCCTGGTACCGGTCCATAACCGGGGGTTGGGGATCCCTGGGTTAAATCCATAGGTGAACTTAAGTTTTTAAAAAGTAAAATATTCTCTCACTTTTCCCACTTAAAAGCACTGAAAGCAGCTTTAAGTAGATTTGTGATCTATTCATAAATGGCTGCGACTGTTGACATAATCCATGGTTAACATGATCACGGTTTATGAAATTGATCCAGGAAGTTTCATTATTATTATGTATGCTACTTGGATAATACAGGTAGTCCTTGAGTTACAACCATTCATTTAGTGACTGTTCGATGATACAACAGTACTGAAAAAAGTGAATTATGACTGTTTTTCACACTTACAACCATTGCAGCATTCCCATGGTCATGTGATCAAAACTCAGGTGCTTAGCAACTGACTCATATTTATGACCACTATAGTGTCCTGGGGTCATGTGATCCCCTTTTGCAATCTTCTGACAAGCAAAGTGAATTGGGAAGCCAGATTCACTTAACTGTGTTAACTAACTTAACTGTAGTGCTTCACTTAACAAATATGGCAAGAAAGTTCATTAAATGAGGCAAAAGTCACTTAACAAATGTCTCACTGAGCAACAAAAATTTTGGGCTCAATTGTGGTTGTCAGTCAAGGAC